TAGGGTTCTTAACTTAGGGGTTTTTTAATTTCAAGTACAGGGTTCGAATTAGGGGTTTTCTAATTTAAGTACAGGGTTCTTAAATTAAGGATTTGCATTGTTGATTACCACGATTTGTTGATATATAATGGGGTATTACCCTTTGTTGTTGCCTTAATAATATGATAGACTCGATTGTGTTGCTTGTTGAATTCGGCCTCCCAATTTTGAAGTTACATCTACGTTTTCATATTAATCTTTCTTTTCTGCACAGTAATTTGAATTCCTCCATTATAGTTTAGATTATATATATATATATATATATATATATATTAGACGTATTAGCAAACTTCTTTTGCTGCAAATCGCAGAGCACATGAACTTTGTTATGATAGGAATGTTTCAATGATTTTCATATTTCTACATCTCCAAAATCATTGAATCTGCCCATATGCATTCAGAAAATGCTTTTGACCAGCCAATGGACTGGAATTCCCATATGTTTATTTCAGTTAACAAGTTCATTTGAAATCAAATCAACAATTAGCAATCCTTTTGTAGCCATTGAAGTTGTAAGCATGTGAAAACAGAATCAAAATCTTTGTGTACTAAACAAATTGATTGCCAATTTTGTAGATGTCTCACCTGATTAGAACCCAGAGGCTGATGACTTCTACACCTAATCCGACAGCTACACCTAGTCCGACGACTATACCTACTACTGCCGCCACTGCTCCAGTAGAGATGGACCATAGGCCAGTTAATCCGGTTCACTTAGATGGTCCTTCAATCCCACAGGCGCAGGCATCGTCGACTTCTTCGGTGGTGTTACCTATTAGCGCCAGACGAACTCACCGACGCCCCCGCACTGTGGATCAGATGTCGCCATCAGGATCCACAACCGATGCTTCCGGTACACGGCCAGGTATACAATCCTAATTCACTCCCTCATTCCCTTGTTTACTAAAGTTTAGGGTTTAGGGTACACGATCAGGTATTCAATTTGTTATGTCATGTAAGGATTAAAAAGTTTTCATCATTCCGAACCTTTTATTAAATTGTTGTGATCATTGTGTTAGATATGTATATTGTTTATGTTATTTTCAGGGTTTTGGGAAATGTGTTAAGTATAGGGGAGGTTATGCCAAAATTTTAGTAGGATTTGTTATTAGTTATGGGTTAATGATTTTTTTTTTCATCTCTTTACAGCAAAGAAAAACACACGGGGACCTTGTCGGCAATTGAAGACGGGGAAGGTCACCCGGGTGACCAACGGTCGTATCCCAATTGGATACGATGAGCGACATCGAGCAGCACCAACGGCAGAGCAGCATAGTGCATTGGCCCACGACATTGGGCATGTCGCGCGGACCTTTTGCCCTATTGTCTGGGGATGGGAAATGCCAGGCGTCGGGAGACTGGAGCCTCGTCATCCTCGCAGTCAAAGACCAAGGTTACGGCTTTGACGCAGGAAGTCGCTGGGTTGAGGAGTGAGCTGGCATCGTACAAGTCTCAAATGTCAATGCTTGTACAAGCCCTCAGTTCCTCTGGGATACATCTCCCTGGTTTTTCTACACCATCGCCCTCACAGCCCTTCCACACTGAGCAAGCACAGCAATCAGGCCCGTCGACCTCCGACAACGTCCCCAACTAGCAGCAAGATTACCAAGCACCTCCGAATGACACGCCTATAGATTTTGCCTCTTTATTTTCGTAGTTTTGTTCCCTTTTTTTTAACTTTACATTTGTACATACATTTTATGAAATCTGTTTTTTTTCCTTTTATTCTATTTTTTTTATTAAAAATTACACGTGCGCGACGACGATATGTCGTTGCTCAAAACTAAGCGCGTCTTACAAAATGTCGTCGCGCAAAATTAAGCACGTCTTACTCTTCGTCGCACATTACCATGCGACTACTATAGATTTCGTCGCGCAACAAGTTTTGAGACAAATTACCCACAAACACACTTGTACTCGTTTATATCGTACGACGAAAACCTTTGTTCGTATAACTTTCTCACGACGACTAGTAAAGCATCGCGCAGTTGTTAAGACACACGACAAATTTGAAGATATTCGTCGCGCAATGTCTTTTTTCACTAGCTTTGCGCGACAAAATATGCGCAACGATTTTATGGTCGCCATAGTTTATGTGCGACCAAATAATTCTTTGCACGACAAAATGTCCGTAGTCGCGCAAACTGTTTAATTTAGTAGTGAGAATCAATTACTAAATTCCATCTTTAATACATTCCTAATTGAAGATCAACTAAGTAATCTATATTTCAATCAATTAGGGATACTTCCACCATTATCCCAATATATTATCTCCTAATTAATATCTTAGGAATATTCTTACCTCATTCATCTAACGGATGACACACCTTGGCCAATCGGATGTTACCATGTGTAGGGAAAAACCCTACACCCATGGCTGGCCACTACCTCCCTAAAAGACCTCCATCTCCACCAAATTTTAGTAAGCTTTTCTATATACAGAAAACCCTAAACATTCACTCTATTCAGATAGACTAACTTAGACATCGGAGATCCTTTGGCTAACCCTCCTTACTCCTCCCCCCACTCCTCATAGGCGTGTGAGGCTTTAGTCTTTAATCGAAGGTGTTGATTGTTTTGTAAGTACTTTTCTTCAAGACTGAAGACGGTAAAAATTGTCTACCACACTATGTACCTAGAAATTCACTTGCATATGGTGATTGAATTAATCTCATGAGTATACAGTACTTTATGATCATTGAGATTTTTAGGTTATCTTCCTTTTGACATAGGAGATAATCAAGTTTAGGTGCAAAAATTAAAAACATAAACGTGCTTGACTTTCGGATACAGTTGCTAGTTATTAAATGAATTATCAAATCAAAGAGTAATTCAAGTATTCAAACTGGTTTTCAATTTTCAAATGGCTTGCATTGTGATTAATTTTGGATTAAAAATATTGGTTAAAGTTAGACTTTGAGATTGCCAAAAAGCTTAATTGGACGGTGGGGTGCGTCACCAAATGAAATCACGAGCTTGATCGCATAAGCAAAAAATAAGTCAAAACCTAATCCGTGAGGACAAAATAAAGAAGTATACGAAGACTCAACCCTAGCTAAAGACCACGACCAAATGAAACACCAACCCCAAAAAATAGTTATTATAGACTCGCATCGCACGGTAGAATATGAATATGATGAATAAAATTAGGGTTTGATAGGGTCGGTCAGTCCACCGAGTTAAGCTTGCAAAAATTGTCCACGCATGCTCTCATTCATGAATAGTTTTTTCCGTACGTCCATATCCAGTTAATTTCATGAATTTGGATATATTGTTGGACTTCAAAATGTTCTGGTCTTACTTACAAGCACATGTTTGAGACTTATACACATACTGCCCCACTTCAACTTGCAGAATTGGTAGGGAAGGGAAGGGAGGCTCAACCACTAAAAGTACATTTGATCCCACCAATTATACAGTGGATGATATAGCACAGAAACGAAGAAAGAAACGAAGTCGTGCAAAAATAGGGACATAAGTTACATAAGTTTAGAAAATAGCATAAGATTATTGGAAAATTAAGTTTTTAAAAAAAAAAAAAAGAAAGAGACAAAGAAGATTACAGAGATATTGACCTGGACATTGACTATGGAGAATGTTGTAATCTTGTCACCCACTCGTGTCGGCTATATGGCTTTGCGCCTAAAAATGAAAACTGATACATGTAACTAATAAGTACATTGGAACCCACCAATGTTAAGGAGAATACATTTTTGAACGACATTTGTACATGATATGCCAGATGATACATGTAAGTAATATTTAATAAGATAAATTCATTAATAATGTAATATGTATATATCACTTGACATATATCATAGGATACAATAATGTGACTAAAATATGTGAACTTCATTTTTTAAAACTATTTAAATAATTTACCATGAAATACTAGAAGATGTTGTAGGCCTATTTGATTGAACGATCTAGGGTTTAAACAGAGAGAGAGGGCCGGCTATGGTTAGAGAGAAAATATTGATTTAATTCTGAGGTGTGTTTAATTCACCCCATTGTGCCTTTATTTATAGTAGTAGGATAGGTAAAAACTTTTCCCTTTAGGATTACAACATTTAATAAGTAATCTACTCCTAATAGGAATATAAGATACATTATCATATCTACTAGGATTTACACAATCACATTCCTATTCTAAATATGACTGCATCACTCCCCCTTGAGTGTGTAAATACTCAACAAACACTACTAAGAAACCATTTATTAGTGTCGCTACAATAATTGACAAAAACCACATATTACTGTCGGACATTAAGCAAAATCCGACAGAAAATGGATGCAATGGCGAATATAATAACCGACAGATCTGCCAGCGTCAGGAAATGAATTTTCTGACAAAAAATAGTCCAAAACCGACAGAAATTGTGTCAGATATAACCGACAGAGAATATATTAATAATGATAAATAAATGAATTTTTTGTCGGATAAAACTGACAGAAAATACTAAAACTGCCAAGACTTGTGTCGGATGTAACCGACATAGAATTTATTAATAATGAATAAATAAAAACATTCTTGTCTGATAAAACCGACAGAACATATATTAATAATAAAAACAAATATAAACCACTTTCTGAATCATTTCTTCCCCTTCCAATTCATTCTTCCACATCACACACACAGAAAGAAGAGAGAAAACAGAGAAGCAGTGGCCACCAACAGAGCCTCTTGCTTTTCTTCACTCTTCAGCATTGTAAGTTCACTCACATCTCCTTCATTTGTTCAAAGCTCCCATCTCCATCAAACTCTCTGCAATTCCCAACTTTACTTCCTATTGCCTCTCAATTGTACTATTCTTCTGATCTAGTAGTACGAACGAAGTAGCATTTTTCTATGCATCAATGCTCGGATTAAAAGTCAAATTTTTGTTTTGTATAATCAAATCAAACACCGAAATAATAACCGAGATTCGGGAAACAAACTTACAATTGATATTTTTTTTTTGTATAATCTAATACCAAATCTACAATCTCCTTCAAAATTTCCCCTTTAAATCTCTATATCAACACCTGAAAACGCCAACAGAAACCACAAAAAGATCAGAATTACACAAAAACAAAAAATTGAATTAAAATTCCATAGAATTGAGAACCGAAGGCGAACAACGAAACCCTAATCGCACCTGAAAATTTGAAAATTGGGACGAAATTGGTAAGGAGGAGGCGAAGATCTGAACGATTCGGCGAAATGAAAGCCTTAAAAATAACTGAGGCTCACGAAAATGAAATTAATTTTTCCCACAAAAAAAAAAGTTTGAAGGATGTTTCGTGAAATTAGAGAACCTGTGGGATTTGGGCGACGTATTGGTGAGAATTGACGTGTTTGACGGGCAACTGGCAGTCCTTGAGGAGATCAAGAGTGTCGGCGGCCATACTGCCTTTGCTGGGCAGGCCAAGGCGAATCTCGTTCCGTACAAAAACTCGGCCTTTCACTGCTTCCGCCACCGCTGTTTGCAGTTGCGAGACGCTGCAGGTGATGTGGAAGGAGAGAGAGATGGGGACATACTGGTGGGGAAGAAGGTGCTCTTTGGCAGGTTTGATGCCAACATATTGTTGCTCTTTTTTTTTGGATTTGGAAATGTGAGGAGTCGATGCAGATGGAGAGAGAGGAGAGAGAGCGGAGAGAGAGAAGGAGGTCATAGGTGGGTAGCTGACGAATGAGAATTAACAAAATATAAGTTACACGTTGTGTCGGTTAAAACCGACAGAAACATTTTTTAAAACATAAACTGATAGAAAATTTTCGACAAAAAACAAATGGCAGCAAAATTCCCCCAAAATTCCCTCCCAAAATTTTAAATTCCCCTCAAAATTTTGTTATGATTTAAATAAATAAAATAATAATTGTTTGGGTTAATAAATAAATAAATAATATGTATTTAAATAGAATACATTTTAAAAAATTAAATAAATAATTGTTTGGTTTAATAGATACCCATGTAAAATATGCAATAAAGAAATAAAAAGATAATTGTATAATGAAAATGTCATTACACAAACTAAGTATTGTCTAATCAATACTTGAAAATCATAAATAAAAATTTAGCACAAATTACTTTTCCTACTTCAAAATTTAGGCAAATTTAACGGAGATATGCATTCTACGAAACTAGTTTCAATGATCTAACCATCAAACTTGTTTGTAGATACTACAAGATCGCATACGTAAAAAATCGCAAAAAAAAAAAAAAAAACATTAAGAAATTAGGAAACGGAACAAAAGTTTTCAACGGTTATAAACGAAAAATCACAATTTAACGGTTATTTTAGCTCTGGTTTTGATGATTTTTTTACAGTTATACTCCTCGACCCTATAAGAATTCAATGAACGAATTCGATCTTCAATTTTAAATATTTACACTAGTGGGTACCACAAAATCTTATTTTATATTTAATGAAAATATAATATTAACTCTAAGTGTTTATTTAATCTACCGTTTTGACGCGATATGCATTCTACGAAACTTTTTTCAACGATCCAACCGTTAAACTTGTTTGTACACACTCTGAGATTGTATACGTAAAAATCGTAAAACAAAATATTCAAAGATTGCATAACAGAACAAAAGTTTTCGACGGTTATAAACGAAAAATCACAATTTAACGGTTATTTTAGCTCTGATTTTAATGATTTTTTACAGCTACACTCTTCAACCCTATAAGAATGCAATGAATACATTTGATCTTCAATTTAAAATATTTACACTAGTGGATACCACAAAATCTTATTTTATACTTAATGGAAGTATAACATTAACTCTTAAGTGTTTGTTAAATCTATCAATTTGATAGGATATGCATTATACGAAACTTTTTTCAATAATCTAACCATCAAACTTATTTGTACACACTCCGAGATCGTATACGTAAAAAATCACAAAAAAAAAAACATTCAAAGATTAGGTAAATAACAAAAGTTTTCGACGGTTATAAACGAAAAATCAAAATTTAATGGTTATTTTAGCTCCGATTTTGATGATTTTTTACAGCTACACTCCTCGACCCTATAAGAATGCAATGAATGAATTCGATCTTCAATTTAAAATATTTACACTAGTGGACTTATTTTATAATTAATGGAAATATAATATTAACTCTAAGTGTTTGTTTAATCTACCAGTTTAATGCGATATGCATTCTACGAAACTTTTTTCAACGATCCAACCGTCAAACTTATTTGTACACACTCCGAGATTGGATACGTAAAACATCGTAACAAAAAAATATTAAGAGATTACGTAACAGAACAAAAGTTTTTGACGGTTATAAACGAAAAATCACTATTAACGGTTATTTTAGCTCCGATTTTGATGGATTTTTACAGCTACACTCCTCAACCCTATAAGAATGCATTGAATGAATTCGATCTTCAATTTAAAATATTTACACTAGTGGATACCACAAAATGTTATTTTATACTTGATGGGGAAGTATAACATTAACTCTAAGTGTTTGTTTAATCTACCGTTTTGATGTGATACACATTCTACGAAACGTTTTTCAACGATCCAACTGTCAAACTTGTTTGAACACACTCCGAGATTGCATACGTAAAAAATTGCAAAAAACAAACATTCAGAGATTAGGTAACGGAGCAAACGTTTTCGATGGTTATAAACAAAAAAATCACTATTTAACGGTTATTTTAGCTCCGATTTTGATGGATTTTTACAGCTACACTCCTCAACCTTATAAGAATGCATTGAATGAATTCGATCTTCAATTTAAAATATTTACACTAGTGAATACCACAAAATCTTATTTTATACTTGATGGGGAAGTATAACATTAACTCCAAGTGTTTGTTTAATCTACTGTTTTGATGCGATACGCATTCTACGAAATGTTTTTCAATGATCCAACCGTCATACTTGTTTGAACACACTCCGAGATCGCATACGTAAAAAATCGTAAAAAACAAACATTCAGAGACTAGGTAACGGAGCAAAAGTTTTCGATGGTTATAAACGAAAAATCACTATTTAACGGTTATTTTAGCTCCGATTTTGATAATTTTTTGCAGCTACACTCCTCGATCCTATAAGAATGCAATGAATGAATTCGATCTTCAATTTAAAATATTTACACTAGTGGATAAATCTTATTTTATACTTAATGGAAGTACAACATTAACTCTTAAGTATTTGTTAAATCTATCAATTTGATAGGATATGCATTCTACGAAATTAGTTTCAACGATCCAATAGTCAAATATATTTGTATATACTCCGAGATAGCATGCGTAAAAAATTACAAAAAAAAAAAATAACATTTAGAGATTATTCTGGCAGCTGTCCAAAATTTTGCTTTGCTCGTGTTGGTTATATTTGACCGGGCCATGAGTGAACAAAAAATATTTAAAACATGTGTTTATTTATTTATTTTTAATCAATATAACATTTTAAAATAATAAAATCAGACATATTAGAGTACACTAGATGTTCATGTGTGTTTATGTGCCAGACAATGCGCTTTGTGACGCATTGAAAAAAATTGTTTGAATTTCTTTGTATCTTGTTGCTTACCTATGATAGAGCTTCAGATTATAGTCAATTTATGTCAGTTATAACCGCCACCATTAACTTAAAGACCACCAGAATCTGTAAAAATATTATAAAAAAAGGATTAAAAAATATTGTCGATTATAACCGACAAGAGTTTTTTAATATCCACCACTAAATATTTGCCAGGAATTTATGTCGGTTATATCCGACAAGATTTTTCTAATATCCGCCACTAACTAAATAATGTGTCGGATATAATTTATCCAACAATATTTTTCTAATATCCGCCACCTAAAGCTAATATTGTAGTAGTGAAACCATCCCATCAGATCTTTAGCATATAAGGTAGAATAGTTGATGAAATCATTAGCACAACGGGTGATCACGAGTCTCAAATTTAAGTGAAGTATGCATTTGTAGTAAAATTCACAAAGCCTCGCTATGGTAAAACCCAAGCCATGGGAAAAACCCATAGACTAAGGAGAAAAGTGAGAAGTATGCATAATGTCTTTAAACAAACATCAAACAGGACGAAGGTAGTGAACTCAATGGAGTATGATCATCTTAGGATGGGTGCCTTATTAAAACCTCGTTAGGTAGCAAAAACCCAGTGGGGAAAATGCTCCTAATCGTAGGAAAAAAAGTACATTAAGATCATGTGAGTATGCTTCTAGATACTCCCCCTGAGTTAGACATAACTTCTAAATAAGATAACTACAAGTGATTCAACTTAGATAATTTACGCATAACGATTCCTTGGACGAGCTTCTGAAAAGTAGACTTGGGCAATGACTTGGTGAAAAGATTGGCCAGGTTGTCTTGGGAACGAATTTGCTTAACTTCAATGTTCTGATGCTGCTGTTACTGGTGTGAGTAAAAGAACTTCGGTGCTATGTGCTTGGTGTTGTCTTATTTGATGTATCCCTTTTTCAACTGCTCGATACATGCTGCATTGTCTTCAAAGATCATCGTAGGAAGGTCAATGATTGATGTAAGGCCACTAGTGCTTCAAATATGTCCCATAATTTCTCTCAACCAAAAACACTCACGCGATGCTTCACGCAGGGTGAGAATCTCAGCATGGTTTGACGAAGTCGCAACTAGTGTTTGCTTGGTAGACCCCCAAGATATAGCGATGTCTCCAATGGTAAAGATATAACATGTTTTAGAATGTGCTTTATGTGGGTAAGACAAATATCCAACATCTGCGTAACCAAGAAGACGAGAATCAATCCGAGGACCATAGGGGGTGGCAATACTCGAAGATTCGTGGGTATAGAACAATCCCAAATCCGTTGTACCATTGAGGTAGCGAAAAATGTCTATAACACTATTCCGTGCCTGCGTGTGGGCGCATTGCTGTATCTTGCCAAAAAATTCACAGCGAAAGAGATGTCAGGTCTAGTGCACTGAGCCAAGTACAATAAAGCCCCAATTGCACTTAGGTAAGGAACTTGGGGTTCCAAAATCTCTTCCTCATCCTCATTTGGACAAAAGGGATCTCATTTAGCATCTAGAGTCCAAACGACCATGGGTGTATTTGAAGGCTTCGCTTTATCCTTATTAAAATGACGCAACACCTTTTGGGTGTAGTTCGGTTGATGTACTAGAATTCCATTCGAACAATGCTCGATCTCCAGGCCAAGACAGTATCGAGTTTTCCCAAGATTTTTCATCTTAAATTTC